ATGCTGGGCTTGCCAACCTCCTTGGCCTGAGCAATAAAGACATGCATGGTATTACATTGTGTTACAGTGTATTACATTGTATTACAATGTATTCATTCCCTGATAACTTTAATATAAAACCATACACTACTGGACAGTTTGGGGCCTTTTAGGGAGTAGTTTGGGTGGTTTGGGTCTGTGCGGGAACTAGTTGGATAATACCCAACCATCGCAACAGACAAATTTGTGAACCACGATCACAAGTTACTACTGATGTTGTACCTCATCCACACATATCACACTTGTACTTAATTTGCGGGTAACATTTTGGCAACCTTTTGGTCAAAGGAGTATTGGTGTTCATACAACCAATACCTTAGCATCATACCACTCAGTATTGGCTTTTCACTATGATCACAGGACTAGTCAAAGGGGCTCAAAGCACTATGCTGTTCTCTACTGTTTAAGATGTGTAACAGTACGATTAAGTAAAGGCACTTCATCACCTAATTATACTGGGTGCGGAGAAACAGGTGCATTCAACTCTCCAAAGGGACACCTTAGTTTACGCAGAAACAACGTGGCAGTCACATTGAATAAGTTTGCCGCAAGGCTGTGGCCATAACTGCAGAGTCCCATGATCGGAGTGAAGGAACCCACGCTAAATTTTTCAAGACATCACCCCGACCATTATCATTTCTCTCACACTGCCAGATGTTTTTTCCCAAATTATTATTATTATTTTTTTTGGGGGGGGGACTGTTTGGGGGGTAAATAATGAAAAGAAAGTTTGATTTTCTCACTGCTTCTAGTTGTTGAGAAGCTTCAGCCCTCAGTGTCTTGGTGACGGTATCCTCGATCTTGTTCTTCTCTTCACACACATCAATGTAGAGTCCCTTAACCGCGTCTAGCTCCTTCTGAGCTTGCTCCAACTCCGATCTAGCACAGACACAAACCAAACTTTAATTTCTAATCCGATTATCTCAAAACTTCCTCTCATCTTCTGGGATTCCACTGGTTGCTATCAGCCGCCGTACTTCGCGTAACATTCTTGTATTCATTTTCAGTAGCTCTTCAAATAACATAAAGCCTGATTGCCTGAAGTATATATTCAATTGTTTTTCGTTTGTTAATTTTTTTGCTAATGAGGTACCACACAGGGGTGGCGGTAAGGCCAAGAAAAAAAAAAGTCGGTCTCTGGTC